GGGCCATTTATACATATATAATTTATTATTTTTATTATTTATTATATTTATTAATTTTCAATCAGTCATCTCCTAGGCCGCAATAGAAACTAACATCTTATTTGTGAGCAGTTCGAACCCAGGGCAATACACAAGGCTCGCATCATTGGATCAGACTATTGGATTCTGCAATATAATTCATTAAAGACAAAAATCTCCATATGATTCATCAGTCCTATTTTCAGATGACCGACTGATCTCTATAAATGGTTATAATTTGATGGAGATAGAGTGTGTGTCTTGAGACTATTTGTATGTTCGGTCAGGCACTGGTCCCGTAATAGTGGAGTGGTCTTGAACCCTAGCAAATCATCATGTTGATACACCTAACCATAGCGACAGAAATAAAATGATTAGGTGAAGTTTTTGATATGAGGTTATCTTGTAATAGTCACGTACAACTTCTGGCAAACAAAACCCGCCAGCTGATAAACTTTCTTTTTTGGTCAGCCAGTTTACAGGGAATAGGAAGTACGGTTCTAAAAGTAATTTATAAGGAGCGACACTGCCGATTACGAAATATAGCTTAACAAAAATCTGCTAAAAATTGTTAAAGAATTCGGAACGATATAGCGTTTGGCTACACTCAGCAAAATGGGTTGACGTAACTTCTAATAACGGAAAATGAAAAATCTAGTTAACTTACCTTTGTCGACTAAAAATGCGAGCAGCCTATAAAAGTTCAAAAATTCAAGCTTCATCTATCTATCTGTCGATTTGTCTGTCTGTTCGACCGTCCGTCCGTCTGTTTGTATATCTATCTATCTATCTGTCTACTTTCTAACTATTTAGCTTTATATCTCTTTGTATTTTGTATTTCCTGTTCGTCTGCCTGTTTATATTGCCCTCCTCCTCCCTCTTTCTCACGCACTGTGAACGTGTTTGTTTCTTATTTTCACTTGTACCTACTTGAGGTTATTAGATAAGGATTATTATTGAGGATTTTTAATTAATTTGATTCGCATTACACTTTAGAGTGATTTTTGGAGGTATTTTTAATCTTTTATTTTCATCATAGTGTCCGTCCAAATGCTCAATAAAATCACATATGAATAGTTGTTGTTTCGAACAGAAACTTGTTTTAAGTACGTCTTGAATATAAAAAGGTAGCGAATCATGATTATATGTTTATCGATTTATTTTAGGTTAGATTTTTAATTCATACAAATAATTAACTAAAACATAATTTTTTAAATTAATTTTATTACTGTATTAATTAAATATTTTCTAATATGGTTTCTGGGATCTCCTTATTGTCACAAAATGGTGGAATACATTTTTTAGGGTTTTAACCAGTCTTTCGACAGTTATACAACCATCATAATTGAATGTTAAAATGTTACTAGTCCTTACTCGAATGTTGAATTTTCATAAAGTTTAAATTGACAGATATGTTGACATTGCAGTACAGGTCAGTATCTGTATGTTCAGTAACATCGCAGTTTTAACCATGTAAGAAAACAGATAGAAATGTATAAACTCTAATAAGTTACCTCGCTTAAAAATGCCTTCATAAATACATCTATAAATTCTTTCCTTATATCAATTGCCGCTTAAAAAAATTATAAATATATCGAAAATCCAATTTAAATATTAAGTATATGTAATTTTGTGCAAAAATTGACTGTTAACAGAACGACTTTTTCTCTTTTTCTGTTGGGAATAATTTGATACAAACACTGGGATTTAACCATCTAAGGCTCACAGGGTGTGCACTTTACTCTTTAAAGTCTTATTTCGGCTTTTATATGTACTAAGAATGCTAAGTATTTTCTACTGCTGATTGTGTCGTTTGGGTCACTTGCAGGAGATGTAGCCTAGTGATAGCACCCCTTCCCACTGATGCTTCATCATTAATTTTCACTGAGTGACTCGGAGCCACTTTCGCTTGAAGTTCTTGGTGGTTTTTTTTGGCAGGGCTGGAATTGATAGTAATAAAATATAAGGAAAGTTAAAGTGAAATATAATATTTAAATGAATAAACAGAACACCTGGAGTTTATCGTTGACCGTTTTACTTGATAGTACAACTTTTACATTCCTGATTTATTATTATTTATTAGTATTATGCTTTGTGGCTATGATTTTTTTTAGCTTATTGCATGACTTATGTTGATTTAGTTTTTTTGAAAACGATGCAATACCGTTTTAAATCCATGTAGATTTGTAAATAACAAAACAGCGAGATTAGGCAATGATCAAATCAATTAGGACTTCATACATAGAATTGAAGTTGTGTCATTCCTCCATATTTTTCGAGTGTAATCTTTTACTTGTAAACATCGCAGTGTAAACTGTCCGTATTCGGTTGATTTTTGTGTCGACTCGCAGGTTTTCGATGCTTAAAAATAAACGTCACTCTCAGCAACAATTATTGCCTCTACTCAACCGCCTACGGTAGCGAATTCGGGTCGCGTTTCTCGACAAAACGTGTCCCTCCATACAATTTAATTTCCGAGGTTTCCACTTAAAATCAAGGAAAACAAAACCTTGTTTAAATTAGGGAGGAAAACACGATTTTGGCAAACAAATGAACCACCCTCCTCGAGGGAAACAAACAATGGCTTACGTCTTAGAGAATTAAATAGTTAGATTTTTTATTGTTAAGGACATTTTGGGCACAACAACCCTTTTTCACCTATCCAATATGATTTGAAAGATGGTAGAAACAGAAGTAAAGAACGGATCTAGCAATACCTGTAAAAAATTTATTTTATCAATGTAAAGTGCAAATACAATTAAATAATTTTCTACGGCCTTCACATTTTTCCAAACGGAGCAAATAGTTTACACTGCTAAGAGCTCGCTATGGTTATAGTAGATAATTAAAAAAAGTATAAACCATTCAAGCTATGTTTTGGAAGTTTATCGATCTGCAGGAAGTTAAGTTTGGCTGATGAGCTTAATATTAAGGTCTGTAGTTTTGTTAATTTGTTTTTTAACAAACTGGCTCTGATGGTGGTGGAATAAACCACCGAAAGCTCGGCAAAAAAGTTTCTTTGCTCCATATGGCCTTTGAAGAAGATCCCATCATTTAAACTATAATTCAAGAAGCTGAGTAAAAATTTTGAAAGAAGACAATTTAACCAAGCGAATACATGGGAGGTGATTCACAAGTAATGTGCACATTTTTATTCATTTTGGTGGCCAATCCTTTCTGGTTTCGATTGGTAGAGATTTTTTGGTTTGTAACCACATGCAGTGCTGAGACTGCCAACGTAGCTAGTTAAAATTATCGCATGCGACCAAACCAAAAACTATGCTGTATGTTTTTTATGTCCCTATATACTGTAAAAATACTTTAGTAAACGTACTTTAACTTTAAAGTTGCCTGAAGCTAAACTTTTAAGTTAAAGGAGTGACAAAATATCTAAACAATTCCATTTCATGTAAAAATTGTCTCCATAATCGTTGTCGTAATCGAATGGAACAACGCCAGTTAAATTTAGACAACTTATATTTAATAAAATTTGAAATTTTTCTACATAATTTTAGTACATATTTAAAACGGGAGTCTCAAATCAGCAAGATAATTGGACTTGTATTGTGCAACTAAATTGAATCAAAGTAGCTTTAATCCTATATCCTTTTCCAGTAAATCTGTTTTAAAAGCATTGATACTACCAATAAAGTCCGAATAATAGAAACATTCGAATGTAGCACATCAAATGATAGTTACATACGATTTCTTTTCGCTAAATAACAGGTTAAACTAAAAAAAGTTAGAAAAATCAACGGTCATATAAATTATTTTCATAAAACACCGTTTAAACCATACAAATTGAAATTACATCCAGATAAAGCATGATGTGTGATCATTTTCAATTAAAAAATTATCCACTACTCACCTCTAAAATAAAACAAATAAAATTTAAAAAATGTAATGCTACGTACATAGTGGGCATTTTTCATTTGCCATTAATTTTTCATATTAGAGAGATATAGGTAGCTGCAAGAAAATATTGATGTTATAAAGACCTGGATTCTGTAGGATTTTGGGACTTTGTTAATATTTTCTCGACGACGGCATTGAATATGCTCAGGATGGACACTTCGGATTTATTCACTTTTCTATAGAATAAGTATAGATTTTTTTCTACCCTCATAGATAAGAAGTAAGGCGCGGGTTTCGGTTTTTAAATGATGAAAATAGCTTTTTAATAAAATACGATATTCTGTATACAGCACAATTGTACCTTCCATATGATCGAAGAGCCTTTAATCTCATTCAGTGTAAAAAGATTGCTCTCGGTAGACCCTGAAGAAGACGAAATAAATTGTCGAAAGCTCGGCCTTGGTACAGTAGCACTATTTGTTTTTCTGACCAGAAGCCTAATCAACAAGACTATTATATATCACAATTGGACCGTCAAGTAAAAGTAAAAAAATTATAAATGTGCATGGGCGGGTTAAAGGGAGGAAGAAAGAAAGAGCGAGAGAGAGAGAAAACGGGAGAGAAAAAGAGAAGACAAAATAAGTTCCAATGCACCAAAAAATATTACTACCATAAGGGGAAATAAAAAAATGTTAAAGAGAAAGAGTAAGGCAAATATTCAATAAGTAAATTTCTTTATCGCTGTTCAACAAAGTACCATAATATAAACCCATAATATCAACCGTTATCGAAAGTATATAATCACATTAATTTTTATAAAATATAAATATTTATAATTCAACTATTATTAATACTACCAAATAATAAATTTATTTAAAAAATTTCACCACAGCAAAGACTACGAAAAATACAGTGATCAGTTAATTTAATCTATATTGCTTCAGAGAAAAGCAGATAGACAGACGTTTCCTGACCTACAAATAGAAATTACAATTTAACAAATCATACTGTACATTCACGTTAATAAATACACTTACAAATAATTTTACATTCCCAATAAAGTATGTATTAAAAAGTAACGGAAGCTACAGTTTAAAAAAAATGTACTTATTTTGTAATTGTTTCAGGTGGCGTGGCTGCGAGTGGACACTCAGACCATCCTTACCATCCATGGTCATGTGATAACGAAGAACCACAGGATCGGCGTGACCCACTCGGACCACCGGACATGGTACTTACATATAAAGGAACTAAGACAGTCGGACCGCGGATGGTACATGTGCCAGATCAACACGGACCCTATGAAGAGCCAAGTCGGCTTCCTGGATGTCGTCGGTAAGATTTCTTTTATATACATTTTGTGTTTAAATACATTTTTATTACTGCGTTTGAATCAGGCGAAGTATATAATGCAATATTATTTGCCAACGCCAGCCACTTGGAATTTATCAAGATCAAAAGAACAACTACAAGACTTTTAGAACCGAAATATGGTTTGATCGTCAAAATCAACTCACTTTCTACAGAACATTACTGAGACCACTTTGGCCTAGTGTGGACCTGGCTTCCACCAAGCCACTACCTCCAACATCCAAGATCACCTTGAGCAAGACTGGTCCAAATGTAGTGGACAAGACTGAATAAGAAGAATATTCTATGTGTATACTGGCATTGACGAAACAGTCTTGCCCTCCGCTGTAAATAAACTTCAAAGAGATACCAATTTCTATTCAAGTGTACACCTAGGCTGCAAACTGACTCGGAATCCCCTCACAGAGGCAACATTTTAACAGAAGACTGACATCTACGAAGACCTCTCGGACCGAAATCCGTATTGACCGTCAACACAAAACTAACCTTATACAAGTCATTACTGAGACCACATTTGACATGCGGAATGGAGCTGTTCAGCCATTCTGCCAAACCATCCAATATCCAGCGCATTCAATCTTTTCAATCAAAGTCCTCAAACAAATTGGCAATGCTATTTACTAGGTCATCAACCTCACTATATATGGCTTAAATATTCCTTTTTATCAACGAGATGATCTGACAGTGCTACCAAAAATTCCACACTAAGCTCGCGATCTACCCTAATCCTACTGCCAAAACATGATCTAAGCTTTCCCATCCTGAGAACCAGCCTGCCTCGTCACCTGAAACGACGTTGACCTTGAGACCTCGTCGCTTCTTAATCCCTCATATTGAGTGCCAGCGTGGGCTGGTTTCTCTTTATCTGCATCCTCCGAGTTCAGTGCTCGTCATAGTGTCAAAGTTTTGACTTGTAAGTTAAACATATCTTGACAGAAGACTGAACATGACTTAAAAGACCACAACTAAACAAATAACTTGGTAAAAGTTCAATTAATTGTACACAAGACATTACTGCAACCACAGAATGACCGACCCAATTGAAATATTTATCTTCCTCGCTGGCGTATGAAATATAAAGGAACGAAAATAGATAATTTGGCTATTTACCTAAGCATGTGCAAGATTTAAACTAAAAATAGGTAAATCATCAGAGAAGTGTGTAAAAGTACGCTTCGCCAAAGCGAAAAAATTGATTAAGATATAAATGATGACATTAGTTGTCTTTATACTACGAATAGAAAATTATATAATTATAACATCAAAACATTCAACAGTCATATTGAGAATACAGGTGGTAATAGCAATTTGTAAGCATTGGATCTAAAAAATTATTATTATTATGATATGGTTAAATTTACCTTTGGGTTTGTACTTTTGCTTTGTGTTATTCTTAAACCTTATTTACCCGCCAGTTGGAATATTTTGTAATTGTTCAAAAAATTTGATCGCAAACAAATCTTTTTGTGTAGTGAGATATTTTTTAATTAGTACAAGTAAAGAAACCCTAGTGCTAACGTGTCTATGCGCATACATATGGGACAGTGGGTACATGATCAAGATGGAGGGTGAGAAATTGTTTATGAGATTGAAATGTTAAATGGAAAAGACAGGGGTTGCCATGTGTGAAAAAGGGGTGGGCCATTGTGTAAAAACCATACCCTCTTTAGATTGTATTAATCACCGGATAACGGCTTCTATCTGCATCGTGTAGGCGGCCGCAGCCAAATTAATCGCGTTAGGCCTACTGGGCTTAGAGGTCGGATTACTAGTTGAAGAGGACATAACGCAAGTTCAGAAGGATCGAATTTCCTTTTACTGTAAAGGTGCTCTTATATCAAACAGTGGCAAACTTTCAACCTCAAGGAATACAGCGCCTTAAATTCGACGATTTGCTGAGATAGGATTCTTTGGTAATTTTAACGCCTTTCATACTTCAGAATAGACAGTATTAAAAAAATCTTACGTATGACGAATAATTGACAAAACGTACTATATTTATCTTTTAAAAATGGATTAGAAAAATTATAAAATAGGTTTGTTTGTTTAAGTAAAAGTCACCTTTCTTAATTAACACATATATAATTGGTTATTCAATTAATTTGATCGTATTAACTTATGTTTGTCAGTTCTGAAACTGTATCGTATATCACACGACCTTATTATTGTTTAGCACCAAGTTGACAGAAAATTAGTCTTTGAGAGATTTGACAGAGAAGTTAGAAATGTGATAAAGCCAACAAGAAAATTCAATTTCACATACAATTATTCTAAGAGAAGAGTTGAGAGAGAACGATAATTAAAAAATAAAATATGAGGAAAGGAGTTAGTACCTACTTTTACGACATATAAATCTCATTTTCAATAAAATATTTTTATATTTTCTAAGTCTAACTCGTCCTTTTCCAAATCAAAGAGCACTACTTTTATAAGATAGTTTTGCTCAAATACTTTCTAATACATCCAAACCGAATTCAATATTTTTCTCTTAACTATATTTCGAATTTTACATTATCATTCTTTGGAGATTCCTCCGTAAGGACGATTTTTAAACCTCTTATCTCACTCCTACAGAACAGTCTATTTCTCATCCTTAGATTACTGATTTATATAAGGTCACATACAGAAATATGTGGTGTTTAGTGACCAATGTCGATGATTATTTGGAGATCATGAGATCGGTCAGGTGACAATTTTCTTTGTCGTGCCAACGTTTCGATCTGTAGTGAGATCATCTTTAGAGCCTGGGATTGATAAACATTGTTTAAATTTTACAAATTCATGTAGGATGTAAAAAAACGAATTAATACAACGCTAGAAATTTTAGATTAAAAATGAATTTATACAATGCTAGAAAATTTTAGATCAAAGTATTTGTACTCACTCGAAGTGTTTGTTTTCTGTGTAGATGTGTCATTCTTGTGTGTCGTATTGAGGGTGCCAGTGAGATATTGATGTTTTATATTTATATACGTAGGATTTTCAAGGGGTGGGGAAGGAAGTTGGAATAAAACGACATTATTATATGAGGAGTCGGCTTCTTTGATGTGAAAAGAGCCGACAATGAGTAAAACGTGGGTAATGGTTCGGCCTGATTATCCTTTCAGGATTATATAGACGGGGATAGTAAGGGAAAGGAAAGCTAAATTGTTGAAGAATTAGACTATGTAAAAATGTTTGATGTGTGGAATGTGTTTTTTGTTTTATATGCTGTATTATATGTGTTGTATGATGTGATGATGATATATGTATGTTATCGATATTGAATTTGATTAATGATATTGGAGTAGCTGCGACTGAGTTTACATGTGTCTGTTTTGTAATTGATGCTGTGTTTATCCCTGTTGAAGTAAGCCACTTCTAAAAAGTTACGTTTGTGTTTGTTTTGTTGTGTGTGTAATATTTTTGGTCGTTGAAGTCGAAATTGTGTTGGTGTTCAAAGTTGTGGGAAGGATTTTGTTTGGGTTTTTTCTTGATAAGAGAGTAAAGCAAAATATCTATGATTGCAATTTAAATTCTCTTATCGGTTGGCATTCCTAAAATACATCATTGAAAAAAAGAAAATCATTCCTGACCACCAATTTGGATTCCGAACAAGACATTCAACAATACACCAAATTCACCGAGTAACGGACGTAATAGAAAAATCTCTCAAAGAAAAACAAATTTGATCTGCTATCTTCCTTGATGTCTCACAATCTTTTGACAAGGTCTGGCATGTAGGACTCATCAAGAAACTAGAAGGTATACTACCAAAGCAGTATGTCGATATTATCAGTTCCCACCTAACTGACAGACTGTTTAGAGTCAAACAAGAAGATCAATATTCAAAACTAAAAACAATAATTGCAGGAGTGTCACATGGTAGCATATTAGGTCCACTGCTTTACTCGTTATACACCAGTGATTTTCCGAAAATAGATGGAGTAAAAATTGCAACGTTTGCAGATGACACAGCGGTGATATCACTAGGACCGACTATCACCCATTCTACCAAAATCCTCCAAAATGCATGCAATAAGATAAACGAATGGACAAAAAAATGGAAAATCAAGCTAAATCAGCATAAATCAGTTCATCTAATCTTTACAAACAAAAAGGTGGACCATGTTCCGTCGCTCACAATCGATGGAACTATTATACCATACAGCAATACAGCTAAATATCTGGGAATGACCTTAGATGCCAAGCTAAGATGGAAAGAACACGTGAAGAAAAAAAGGACAGAAATAGGTTTAAGGTACAGACATGACTGATAGGACGTGGCTCCAATCTTGCTATACAAAATAAAATATTATTATATAAACAAGTCATAAAGCCTATGTGGACATTTGGTATCCAACTATGGGGTTTTACCAAACACAGCAATATCAAAATCATACAAACCCTCCAAAATAAAATCTTACGTAACATGGTCAATGCACCTTGGTACACAAGGAATAAGGACTTAAGATCCCTGAAGTCAAGGCGGAAATACAAATATTTGCCGCCAAACACCAGGCTCGCCTCAGCCAGCACGAGAATGAGGAAGCGACCAAACTCTTACATAACCGAAACATGGTCAGAAGATTAAAAAGAACAAAGCCATATGAACTTGTGTAGTTAAAAATGAATAGTGAATAGTGAAATGTAAATCTTATTGTACCAATGGGTTTATAAGAATGTAAACATTTATTTATTCTATAATATTATTGTAAAATTAATGGTTGGTCTAATAAGACCAGTTTTTATAAATAAATGTAATTTAAAAAAAAAATCGGGTGGCATTCCTACCCGTATTCTGTTTGGAGCCAAGATGCACCTTTCAATTAGGTCCAAAAGTAAGTGCTCATGTGCCTACCTTGCATGACCTATTTTTAATCGGGTGAGGATTCCTTATTAAACGAGGCAGGGTCCACCTATCGACTATCCTCTTGATACGCAATCGGCCCACCGACGCTGTAACTTCCTTTGAATCATATTTT